TTTCTCTCTCAAAAAAATCAATAAAATATATTTAAAAAAAAAAAAAAGAGGTGAGAGCAACACTGATGAATAGCACAGAGCAGTTTAAAGTCCTCTCCTGAGGGGCTGGAGAATGGGAGGATGGAGGACTGTCAGGGATGAGCAGGGACAACATGTCTCCAGTCCTTGGGGAAGGCAAAACACACACTGGGGTCCATCAGAGGGGAAATGACACTGTGATTTATGGTATTTAGTTTGAATCACTAGCCAATGTACTATGCATTAGAACTGGCATGATCAATTTAAATTTCTCATAGTCATGTTTCTTCAACAATAATATTTATGTGTGTGTGATTGCTTCTCTCTCTTGGCCTGTAAATCAGGGTGGACAGTGACTCATGAGGGAGCGTTGGGGAGGAGACATGTGTGGGTGTCAGACCTGAGGGCTCCTGTGGCTCCTGGTGCCCAGGTGCAGGGCAGTCACACCGGAGGGAGGACCTGCCTGCCCAAGTGTGCAGGAGCCAGTGGAGTGTGTGCCTAGCTGCCAGGCCCAGAGCCTGAGCTCTGATTCCCAGTGCACCAGCGCCCCCTGCTGGCCCCAGAGCACACGTTCCCCAGCCCATCTCCTCCCCCAGCCCTCCTGGAGGGGCTCTGTGGTCTTCCTGAGGCCACTCCCCAGGGCAGAACAATGAGCAAGTCCCCCCTCTGGTGCTGGGGGGAGGGCGGGGGGGACACCCGTGATTTTCTAAGGGGCCTCGGGACCTGCACAAAAGTTAATGGCTCACTACGTTCCCAGCCCTTAAAGGAGCCCTGCTTGTGGCTTTCCCTCTGTCTGCCTGGCCGCTGGGGTCATTCCATGTGTCTGAGCGTTTGGAGCAAAGTTTGAGGCTTAAGGTTCCCCAGAAAGCCGGTCAGTTCCTACCTGGTCATGATTCCACTTGGGTTTCCTTTAGGGTGAAATGCCTGGATGTTGTTGTGGTTGTTGTCTCTGTAGCGGTGGTGCCATACTTGGCTCCCGTGGTTATGTCTTGGTTTCTGCCTCTGCCTCTGCCTTTGCCAGGAGGGCGTAATGATGAAAAGGGAGGAATGTCTGTGTTCAGGTCAGTCCTGTAGCTTCTCATTTATCTTTGAACGTCACCCTGGCAATGCCTTCTTTAGGCTCCTGAGTTGTTAAAACGTGTTTCTCTACTGATGTAACTTTTTTCAGTACCAGGGTTGATATACAATGAATGTTGTCATGAGTGAAATGCTGGCCCTTTGAGAACGTTTTCCCCCTCCCGGGGTTTACATTTCCTCATTTAATGTTCTCCATCTTCATGGACTCATTAGGTATATTTGGGAGGAGCTCCATGGCTTCCATGGGAACTGAGTTTCTAAGGTCCTGGCCATAGTCAGCATGGATCCCATGTCATCCCAACAACAGGAGGGAAAGAAGGAGAGGGTTCGGGAAAACTAGGGGGACGTGGGCCCATGTGAAGGATAAAATATATATTAACATTGTCCCCACGATGAAATTTATGACGGGGCTGTGGCGTCACTGCTCTGAGGGAGAGGAGACTCACAGCCTCACAGAGGGGTCTCTGAGTCTCCCTGTAGGTCGATCCAGTTGGGAGCTGAGTCCGTCCCTGTAGCTATGGGCAGAGAGGAAGAGGGAAGCCCATTCTTGCAGGAGTCACATGACGAGAGGAACACGCCCTGGGAGAGGCCGAGGAGGCACATGACCATAAATCTCTGGTCAGGAAAATGGGGCCAGGGAGCCCCCTTCCCACGGTGTGCCGGCCATTTGCACCTTCAGGCTTTTTCTGCATCAGAGGCTGAGCCAGGGTGAGCCCAGGAGGAGGTTTTGGTTGCACTTCCCCGTGGGGTTACATCACCGTGTAAACAGCACCAACATTGTACAGAGCACAGTAATATATGGCCTCGTCCTCAGACTGGGCCCCCGAGATGGTGAGGGCAGCTTTGTTCCCAGAAATGGAGCCAGAGAAGCGGGCAGGGACCCCATCGAAGCGGCTGTTTGTGCTGTAGATGAGACTTCGTGGAGGCTTGCCTGGGGTCTGCTGGAACCAGCTGGGGTAGTTACTAGTGGAGACTGCCCCAGAGTTCAGGCCACAGGTGAGTGTGACTGTCCCTCCTGGAGATACGGACATGGACGGCTCCTGGGTCACAGTCTGAGAATCCACCCCTGAAACCATCGGGACAGAGACAGGTGTTATGAGGGACGAAGGTCACCTGAGACCCTGATGCTCTGTGTCCCCCGAGGATGCAGAGTCCCCTCCTCTGACCTGAGCTGAGCGCCAGGAGCTGGAGCAGAAGCACCGTCCAGACCATGGTGGGGACCCTCCCAGGACGTGGCCTCCTCAGGCTGCTGGCTGCAGTGGGGAGTCCTGGGGCCTTTTCATGCCTCCCACACCCATTAGGGGGGACGGTGCCTCATGCAAATCAGCTTCCCCTCTAGCCCTGCCCAGGTCACCCTGAGGTCCCCGGGGGATCTTGAAAGAGGCAGATGCTGGGCCTCACACAGACCAATAGACTCCACATTGGCTGAGAGGCTGAGGGAGGGGGTTGAGGTCTGTCACCAAGTCAGTGCCCTGGAGGGTCTGAGGCTGAAGGATGAGGTGAGAGTGTCTGCCCCCTCCTGGCACCAGCAATCTAGTTCATCCCAAATCCGACACCAGCCCTGGGTCACTGCTTCTTCCTCAGCGATACCCCTCCTTGTCCTCTTTGGAGGATCTTAGCAGTCAGTCCTCTCTCCAGTGGTGAGTCCTCTGTCCAGCCCTGTTAGTGCCTGAACCAGGAAAACAGATCTGGAGGATGGGGTTGTGGCACTGACGCAGACAGCTGCCCTGCCCGACAGGGATGGCCACTCTCTTTTGTCCTAAGAAGCCATCAGTCATATGGTGTGCCTCCCAATTAGATAGGGTTTGAGGAGAAAATGTCAGGTTGTCACCAAGTCATTGTGAGAAACCGATAACCATCTGACATAACAAAATGGAGCCTGGAGCTCATGATCAGAAGTGAGAGCAGCTGAAACCAATTTGGCTCAGTGGTAGAGCGTCGGTCTGCGTACTGAAAGGTCCCGGGTTTGATTCTGGTCAAGTTTATGTACATTGGTTGCGGGCACATCCCCAGTGGGGGTGGGGGAGGAAGAGGGGGTAGGAGACAGCTGGTCAATGTTTCTCTCTTATCGACGTTTCTAGCTCTCTATCTCTATCCCTTTCTCTCTCAAAAAAATCAATAAAATATATTTAAAAAAAAAAAAAAGAGGTGAGAGCAACACTGATGAATAGCACAGAGCAGTTTAAAGTCCTCTCCTGAGGGGCTGGAGAATGGGAGGATGGAGGACTGTCAGGGATGAGCAGGGACAACATGTCTCCAGTCCTTGGGGAAGGCAAAACACACACTGGGGTCCATCAGAGGGGAAATGACACTGTGATTTATGGTATTTAGTTTGAATCACTAGCCAATGTACTATGCATTAGAACTGGCATGATCAATTTAAATTTCTCATAGTCATGTTTCTTCAACAATAATATTTATGTGTGTGTGATTGCTTCTCTCTCTTGGCCTGTATATTTGGGTGGACAGTGACTCGTAAGGGAGCGGTGGAGAGGAGACATGTGTGGGTGTCAGAGCTGAGGGCTCCTGTGGCTCCTGGTGCCCAGGTGCAGGGCGGTCACACCTGAGGGAGGACTTGCCTGCCCAAGTATGCAGGAGCCAGTGGAGTGTGTGCCTAGCTGCCAGGCCCAGAGCCTGAGCTCTGATTCCCAGTGCACCAGCGCCCCCTGCTGGTCCCAGAGCACACGTCCCCCAGCCCATCTCCTCCCCCAGCCCTCGTGGAGGGGCTCTGTGGTCTTCCTGAGGCCACTCCCCAGGGCAGAACAATGAGCAAGTCCCCCCTCTGGTGCTGGGGGGACCCGTGATTTTCTCACGGGCCTCGGCACCTGCACAAGAGTAAATGGCTCACTACGTTCCCAGCCCTTAAAGGAGCCCTGCTTGTGGCTTTCCCTCTGTCTGCCTGGCCGCTGGGGTCAGTTCTGGTGCCTGAGTTTTGGAGCAAAGTTTGAGGCTTAAGGTCCCCCAGAAAGCCCGTCAGATCCTACCTGGTCATGATTCCACCTGGGCCTCCTTTCGGGTGAAATGCCTGCTTGTTGTTGTGGTTGTTGTCTCTGTAGCTGCTGAGACATTCCGACCCCCGTGGGCATGTCTTGGTTTCTGCCTCTGCCTTTTCCAAACAAGGGAGGAATGTCTGTGTTTCAGGTCAGTCCTGTAGCTTCTCATTTATCTTTGAATGTCACACTGGCAATGCCTTCTTTAGGCTCCTGAGTTGTTAAAACGTGTTTCTCTACTGATGTAACTTTTTTCAGTACCAGGGTTGATATACAATGAATGTTGTCATGAGTGAAATGCTGGCCCTTTGAGAACGTTTTCCCCTCCCGGGGTTTACATTTCCTCATTTCCTGTTCTCCCATCTTCATTGGCCTCATTAGGTATATTTGGGAGGGGCTCCATGGCTTCCATGGGAACTGAGTTTCTAAGGTCCTGGCCATAGTCAGCATGGATCCCATGTCATCCCAACAACAGGAGGGAAAGAAGGAGAGGGCCCGGGAAAAGCGGGGGGACGTGGGCATGTCAAGGATAAAATATATATTAATGTTGTCCCCACGATGCAATTTAGGACGGGGCTGTGGCGTCACTGCTTTGAGGGAGAGGAGACTCACAGCCTCACAGAGGGGTCTCTGAGTCTCCCTGTAGGTCGATCCAGTTGGGAGCTGAGCCCGTCCCTGTAGCTATGGGCAGAGAGGAAGAGGGAAGCCCATTCTTGCAGGAGTCACATGATGAGAGGAACACGCCCTGGGAGAGACTGAGGAGGCACATGACCATAAATCTCTGGTCAGGAGAATGGGGGCAGGGAGCCCCCTTCCCACGGTGTGCCGGCCATTTGCACCTTCAGGCTTTTTCTGCATCAGAGGCTGAGCCAGGGTGAGCCCAGGAGGAGGTTTTGGTTGCACTTCCCCGTGGGGTTACATCACCGTGGAAGTATTAGTACTACCACCCGTGTACACCAGACAGTAGTAGACATCCTCATCCTCAGCCTGGGCCCCCGAGATGGTGAGGGCGGCCTTGTTCCCAGAGATGGCGCCAGAGAAGCGGGCAGGGACCCCATCGAAGCGGCTGTTTGTGTTGTAGATGAGACTTCGTGGAGGCTTGCCTGGGGTCTGCTGGTACCAGCTGGGGTAGTTACTAGTGGAGACTGCCCCAGAGCTCAGGCCACAGGTGAGTGTGACTGTCCCTCCTGGAGATACTGACATGGATGGCTCCTGGGTCACAGTCTGAGAATCCACCCCTGAAACCAACGGCACAGAGACAGGTGTTATGAGGGACGAAGGTCTGCTGAGGCCCTGCTGCTCTGTGTCCCCCGAGGATGCAGAGTCCCCTCCTCTGACCTGAGCTGAGCGCCAGGAGCTGGAGCAGAAGCACCGTCCAGACCATGGTGGGGACCCTCCCAGGACGTGGCCTCCTCAGGCTGCTGGCTGCAGTGGGGAGTCCTGGGCCTTTTCATGCCCCCCACACCCATTAGGGGGGAAGGTGCCTCATGCAAATCAGCATCCCCTCTAGCCCTGCCCAGGCTCACCCTTTGGTCCCTGGGGGATCTTGAAAGAGGCAGATGCTGGGCCTCACACTGACCAATAGGCTCCACATTGGCTGAGAGGCTGAGGGAGGGGGTTGAGGTCTGTCACCTTGTCAGTGCCCTGGTGTCCTGGTGACCTCAGTCCTAACTTCCTTCCCGGGAGGGTCTGGGGCTGAAGGATGAGGTGGGAGGGTCCCGCACTTGGCCCCAGCAATCTAGTTCACCCCAAATTCACCCCATCCCTGGGTCACTGCTTCCTTCTTCAGGAAACCCCTTCTTATCTTCTTTGGAGGATCTTAGCAGTAAGTCCTCCCGCAAGCAGTGTGAGTCCTCTGTCCATCCCTGTTAGTCCCTGAACCAAGAGAAATGGTCAGGGGACCAGGTTTGGGGGTCCTGAGGCAGACAGCTGCACCTCCAGGTAGTGTTGGCCATTCTCTTTTGTCCCAAGAAACCATCCATTCTATGGGATAGCTCTCAATGAAATACAGCTTTGAGGAGAAAATGTCAGTGTCACAGGATATTGTGAGAAACCGATTCCCATCTGACATAACAAAATCGAGCATGAAGCTCATGATGACAAGTGAGATCAACACTGAGTGTGAACATGTCAGTGTGAACAGCACAGAGCAGTTTGAAGTTTTTTCCTGAGGGTCGGAGAGAATGGGAGGATGGAGGACTGTCAGGGATGAGCAGGGGGAACATGTCTCCAGTTGTTGGGAAGGCAATACACACACTGGCATCCATCAGAGGGGAAATAACCGTGATTTATGGTATTTCTGTTGGAATCATTATCCAATCATCTATGTATTAAAACAATTACATTTTGTTTTGTGACTGCTTCTCTCTCTTGGCCTGTAAATCAGGCTGGACAGTGACACCGTGAGGGAGGGGTGGGGAAGGAGACAAGTGTGGGTGTCAGAGCTGAGGCCTCCTGTGGCTACTAGGGCCCAGGTGCAGGGCAGTCACACGTGAGGGAAGACCTGCCTGCCCAAGTGTGGAGGAGCCAGTGGAGTGTGTGCCTAGCTGCCTGGCCCAGAGCCTGAGCTCTGAGTCCCAGTGCACCAGCGCCCCCTGCTGGTCCCAGAGCATATGTCCTCCAGCCCATCTCCCCTCAGCCCTCCTGGAGGGGCTCTGTGGTCTTCCTGAGGCCACTCCCAGGGCAGGACAATGAGCAGGACCCCCCTCTGGTGCTGGGTGGGGGGAACCCGTGATTTTTTCAGGGACCTGGGGACCTGCCCAAAAGTAAATGGCTCACTACGTTCCCAGCCCTTAAAGGAGCCCTGCTTGTGGCTTTCCCTCTGTCTGCCTGGCCGCTGGGGTCAGTTCTGGTGCCTGAGTTTTGGAGCAAAGTTTGAGGCTTAAGGTTCCCCAGAAAGCCCTTCAGTTCCTACCTGGTTGTGATTCCACCTGGGCCTCCTTTCGGGTGAAATGCCTGGTTGTTGTTGTGGTTGTTGTCTCTCTAGCTGTTGAGACATTTCGACCCCCGTGGGCATGTCTTGGTTTCTGCCTCTGCCTTTGCCAGGAGGGCGTAATGATGAAAAGGGAGGAATGTCTGTGTTTCAGGTCATTCCTGTAGTTTCTCATTTATCTTTGAACGTTACACTGGCAATGCCTTCTTTAGCTCCTGAAGTGTTCAAATGTATTTCTCTACTGATGTAACTTTTTTTCCGTACGAAGGTTGATATACAATGAATGTTGTCATGAATGAAATGCTGGCCCTTTTAGAACGTTTTCCCCTCCCGGGGTTTAGAATTCCTCATTTCCTGTTCTCCCATCTCCATTGGCCTCATTAGGTATATTTGGGAGGAGCTCCATGGCTTCCATGGGAACTGAGTTTCTAAGGTCCTGGCCATAGTCAGCATGGATCCCATGTCATCCCAACAACAGGAGGGAAAGAAGGAGAGGGCCCGGGATAAACGGAGGAAGTGGGCCAGGTCAAGGGGACATTGTCCCCACAGTGGAATTCATGATGGGGTTATGGCGTCACTGCTCTGAGTGAGAGGAGACTCACAGCCTCACAGAGGGGTCCCTGAGTCTCCCTGTAGGTTGATCCAGTTGGGAGCTGAGCCCATCCCTGTAACTGTGGGCAGAGAGGAAGAGGGGAAGACCATTCTTGCATTAATCACATGATGAGAGGGACACGCCCTGGGAGAGACTGAGGAGGCACATGACCACCAATCCCTGGAGGGACAATGGGGCCAGGGAGCCCTCTTCCCACGGTGTGCCGGCCATTTGCACCTTCAGGCGTTTTCTGCATCAGAGGCTGAGCCAGGGTGAGCCCAGGAGGAGGTTTTGGTTGCACTTCCCCTTGGGGTTACATCACCGTGTAAGTGTAACTACCCATGTACAGAGCACAGTGATAGTCTCCCCCGTCCTCAGGCTGGGCCCCCAAGATGGTGAGGGCGGCTTTGTTCCCCAAGATGGAGCCAATGAAGCGAGCAGGGATACCAGAGAGACGGCTGCTTGTGCTGTAGATGAGCTGGCGGGGAGGCTTGCCTGGGGTCTGCTGGTACCAGCTGGGGTAGTTACTAGTGGACACTGCCCCAGAGCTCAGGCCACAGGTGAGTGTGACTGTCCCTCCTGGAGATACGGACACGGACGGCTCCTGGGTCACAGTCTGAGAATCCACCCCTGAAACCAACGGCACAGAGACAGGTGTTATGAGGGACGAAGGTCACCTGAGACCCTGATGCTCTGTGTCCCCAGAGGATGCAGAGTCCCCTCCTCTGACCTGAGCTGAGCGCCAGGAGCTGGAGCAGAAGCACCGTCCAGACCATGGTGGGGACCCTCCCAGGACGTGGCCTCCTCAGGCTGCTGGCTGCAGTGGGGAGTCGTGGGGCCTTTTCATGCCCCCCACACCCATTAGGGGGGATGGTGCCTCATGCAAATCAGCTTCCCCTCTAGCCCCGCCCAGGCTCACCCTGAGGTCCCTGGGGGATCTTGAAAGAGGCAGATGCTGTGCCCTCACACAGACCAATAAACTCCACATTGGCTGAGAGGCTGAGGGTGGGGGTTGAGCTGTCACCAAGTCAGCTTCCTGGAGTCCTGGTGACCTCAGTCCTAACTTCCTTCCCGGGAGGGTTTGGGGCTGAAGGATGAGGTGAAAGTGTCTGCCCCCTCCTGGTCCCAGCAATCCAGTTCATCCCAAATCCACTCCTTCCCTGGTCACTGCTTCCTTCCACAGGAAACCCCTTCTTATCTTCTTTGAAGGATCTTAGCAGTCAGTCCTCTGGGCAGCCCTGTTAGTCCCTGAACCTGAAAAAGAGATCTGGGTACCAGGGTTGGGGGTCCTGACCCAGAGAACTGCCCTGCCCGGCAGGGATGGCACTCTCCTTTGTCCTAAGAAGCCATCAGTTAAGTGGTGTGCCTCCCAACTAAATAGGGTTTGAGGAGATAATGTCAGGTTATCATGAGGAACCGATAACCATCTGACATAACAAAATGGAGCCTGGAGCTCATGATCAGAAGTGAGAGCAACGCTGAGTGTGAACATGTCGGTGTGACCAGCACAGAGCAGTTTAAAGTCCTCTCCTGAGGGGCTGGAGAATGGGAGGATGGAGGACTGTCAGGGATGAGCAGGGGGAACATGTCTCCAGTCGTTGGGAAGGCAATACACATACTGGCGTCCATCAGAGGGGAAATGACACTGCGATTTATGGTATTTATATTGAATCCCTATCCCATCAACTACGCATTACAACTGGCATGATCAATTTAATTTTTCCAAAGGTCATACTTCTTCAAGAAAATTACTTTTTGTAGTGTGACTGCTTCTCTCTCTTGGCCTGTAAATCAGGCTGGACAGTGATTCGAGAGGGAGAGGTGGGGGAGGAGACACGTGTGGGGGTCAGAGCTGAGGGCTCCTGTAGCTCCTGGGGACCAGGTGCAGGGCGGTCACACCTGAGGGAGGACCTGCCTGCCCAAGTGTGCAGGAGCCAGTGGATTGTGTGCATAGCTGCCTGGCCCAGAGCCTGAGCTCTGAGACCCAGTGCACCAGCGCCCCCTGCTGGCCCCAGAGCACATGTTCTTCAGCCCATCTCCCCCCAGCCCTCCTGGAGGGGCTCTGAGATCTTCCTGAGGCCACTCAACAGGGCAGGACAATGAGCAGGACCCCCCTATGGTGCTGGGGGACCCGTGATTTTCTCACGGGCCTCGGCACCTGCACAAGAGTAAATGGCTCACTACGTTCCCAGCCCTTAAAGGAGCCCTGCTTGTGGCTTTCCCTCTGTCTGCCTGGCCGCTGGGGTCAGTTCTGGTGCCTGAGTTTTGGAGCAAAGTTTGAGGCTCAAGGTTCCCCAGAAAGCCGGTCAGTTCCTACCTGGTCATGATTCCACTTGGGTTTCCTTTAGGGTGAAATGCCTGGATGTTGTTGTGGTTGTTGTCTCTGTAGCGGTGGTGACATACCTGGCTCCCGTGGTTATGTCTTGGTTTCTGCCTCTGCCTTTGCCAGGAGGGCGTAATGATGACAAGGGAGGAATGTCTGTGTACAGGTCAGTCCTGTAGCTTCTCATTTATCTTTGAACGTCACACTGGCAATGCCTTCTTTAGGCTCCTGAGTTGTTCAAATGTGTTTCTCTACTGATGTAACTTTTTTCAGTACCAGGGTTGATATACAATGAATGTTGTTCTGAGTGAAATGCTGGCCCTTTGAGAACGTTTTCCCCCTCCCGGGGTTTAGAATTCCTCATTTCCTGTTCTCCCATCTTCATGGACTCATTAGGTATATTTGGGAGGGGCTCCATGGCTTCCATGGGAACTGGGTTTCTAAGGTCCTGGCCATAGTCAGCATGGATCCCATGTCATCCCAACAATAGGAGGGAAAGAAGGAGAAGGTTCAGGGAAAACAGGGGGACGTGGGCCCATGTGAAGGATAAAATATATATTAACATTGTCCCCACGATGGAATTTATGACGGGGCTGTGACGTCACTGCTCTGAGTGAGAGGAGACTCGCAGCCTCACAGAGGGGTCTCTGAGTCTCCCTGTAGGTCGATCCACTTGGGAGCTGAGCCTGTCCCTGTAGCTATGGGCAGAGAGAAAGAGGGAAGCCCATTCTTGTAGGAGTCTCATGAGGAGATGGACACGCCCTGGGAGAGACTGAGGAGGCACATGACCACCAATCCCTGGAGGAACAATGGGGCCAGGGAGCCCCCTTCCCACGGTGTGCCGGCCATTTGCACCTTCAGGCTTTTTCTGCATCCGAGGCTGAGCCAGGGTGAGCCCAGGAGGAGGTTTTGGTTGCACTTCCCCGTGGGGTTACACCGCTGTGTAAGGATTACTACTACTGCTACCCGTGTACAAATTACAGTAGTAAACGTCCTCATCCTCAGGCTGGGCCCCCGAGAGGGTGAGGGCGGCTTTGGTTCCAGACATGGAGCTAGAGAAGCGGGCGGGGACCCCATCGATGCGGTCTGTTTTGTAGAAGAGTGTGCGGGGAGGCTTGCCTGGGGTCTGCTGGTACCAGCTGGGGTGGTTACCACTAGCAACTGCCCCAGAGCTCAGGCCACAGGTGAGTGTGACTGTCCCTCCCAGAGATACTGACAGTGACGGCTCCTGGGTCACAGTCTGAGAATCCACCCCTGAAACCAAGAGGAGAGACAGATGTTATGAGGGATAATGATCAGCCTGAGTCACTGCTGCTCTGTGTCCCCCGAGGATGCAGAGTCCCCTCCTCTGACCTGAGCTGAGCGCCAGGAGCTGGAGCAGAAGCACCGTCCAGACCATGATGGGGACCCTCCCAGGACGTGGCCTCCTCAGGCTGCTGGCTGCAGTGGGGAGTCCTGGGGCCTTTTCATGCCTCCCACACCCATTACGGGGGAAGGTGCCTCATGCAAATCAGCTTCCCCTCTAGCCCTGCCCAGGCTCACCCTGACTCCCCTGGGGAAAGTCCCAAAAGAGGCAGATGCTGGGCCCTCACACACAGTCCAGGCTGCATGGGGACCGAGACGCTGAGGGAGGGGATTGATTCTGTCACCAAGTCAGCTCCCTGGAGTCCTGGTGACCTCAGTCCTAACTTTCTTCCCTGGATGGTCTGAGGCTAAAGGATAAGGTGGGAGTGTCTGCCCCCTCCTGGCCCCAGCAATACAGGTCACTCCAAACCAACCCCATTTGGGGGAAAACTGATCCATCCTCAGGAAACCCCTTCTTGTCTTCCTTGGGGATCTTAGCAGTCTACTCCCTCCAGTGGTTAGTCGGGAGGAGGTTAGGGAGCCTCTGTCTGGGCTGTGAAGGGCCTGGGGTCTCCCGGACTCAGTCCTGGACCCTGTCCCACCAGCAGTGTCGGGGGACAGGGCTGGGGGTGCTCACCATGCGCTTGCACCTCCCGGCAGGGATGGCCACTCTCTGTTGTTCTAAGAAGCCATCAGTTACACGGGGTGCCTTACATTAAATGGGGTTTAGGGGGTTGTTTTACATTCAATGGGGTTTTAAGCAGAAAATGTGACGGCGATGCCAGGAATTATGGGATGCCTACCCACATCTGACATAGGAGCACAGGAGCTTTATCAGAAATGTGAACGCCGTTGTGTGCGAGCACGTGGGCGTGACCATCACAGAGGACCTCGCAACAGTCCCTCTCCCTCCCCCTTCTGCTGTGGGGCAGGAGGAATGGGAGGGAGAGCAGGAGATTGGCATGTGAGGGGGTGAGCAGTGCACTTGTCCCAAACTGACGTCCTTCCCGTCGCCAATGAAGCCGCTTGTGCAGCGAGAGAGGAGGGGGAAGAGCAGAGGGATCCAGGTCCCCATGGAGAAGCCCCAGAGCTCTGTGGGCTCAGGCCTCCTTGTTGGGACTGAATCTCCCGTCCCAAGTGGCCATGACCTTGTGTTTAAGGAACCCATAGGCGATGTTGCTTCATGCATGTGTGTCCTGGGGTGTGACTGCCCATCTGTCTCTACCTGGACCTCCCGCTTGATCAACACCTCTAGGAGGGGGATGTGATAAAATACGAGGTGAGTGTGTGAGGGAGAGGGCCCGCTAGGGGGCTCCAGTGAGTCCTCATGCTGCTGGGCCCATCAGGGCGATCCCATACACCTTCCCCCTCCTGGTCCTCAGCGGAGGAGGTGGGCCTCCTGCCGCCCTCCCCATGGTCCGTCAGGAGCTCCAGAGCTCCCGCTGTGCAGACGGGAGCACAGCCTGGGTGCGGGGTGTCAGCAGGAGCTCGGGGACAGCACCGCACACCCTCCGATGCTCTCACCTGAGAGGAGCAGGAGGCACAGGGCAGGAAGCTCACCGTCCTTGGTCCTCGGAGAAGGACCAGGGAGACCGCAGGGAGACGTCACCACCCCAGGCCAGCGGGGCCGTGTGACCTGAGCCGTGGGGACCCTGTGGGTGAGGCCTTGGAGAAGCCAGACCCCTGCTCATTCCTGGGACAAAGTTCACGCAGGGCAGCCATGTTGGAACACGCCCACCAGTGACTCAGAAGCTGCCATGTGAAGCTCCCACCCGTGTCCTCCTCACTCTCCTCAGCTTCTGCCCAGGAGAATCGGGAAGACACATCGCCTGAGAGCACAGCCATCCTGGCGCCCAGGGCCCCAAAGCGCTGTGCAGAGCAGCCACAGGGCCAACCCCTCAGCTGCCAGCAGTGAGGCCTCAGCACACGCTGCTGTGCTCACACATGGGGATGCGATTGGAGGAAGAATAATGGGACTGCTGACCCGTGTCCCAGTGTGGATGGACCTCAAGAACATGACTCAGAATGTGAGGCTCAGTGGAGAGAGCATCAGCCTATGGACCAGAGAGTCCCTGGTTCGATTCCCAGTGAGGATACATGCTTGGGTTGTGAGCTCCCTCTCCCTAGGGGAGCATGCTAGAGGCAGCCAGTCAATGATTCTCTCTCATCACTGATATTTCTGTATCTCCCTCTTCCTTTCTCTCTGAAATCAATAAAAATATTTTAATAAATAATTAGAAACAATAGCCACCAGGGCTCCCCATTTTCAGGTTCCATCCATGTGAAAGCACCTCCTAGGAAACATGGTAATCCAGAGAGTGGGTCAGCAGCCACCCGGGACTGGCAGGGTTGTGATGGGCCTGATTCCTGCACGTGGGACCTTCTCTGAGGATAAGGAAACCGACTGGAACTGGCATACGGGATGCTACACCACCCTGCAAACGCACTAAATGCTGGTCCATGGTGCACACTAAACCGATGAAACTTAAGGCATGCACACTATATCACAATTACGCTGGGATAAAAAACAATGTGAAAGAGATCACCTCTCACTTGCCTATTTAAAGGGGTCCTATATGCCCTAGCCCGTGTTGCTCAATGGATAGAGCGTTGTCCTGGAGACCAAGGGGTCCTGCTTAGATCCTGGTCCAAGGCATGTACCTCGGTTGCAGGCTCCTCTGGGGCCCCGATCCTGGCCAGGGCTCCTGTGGGAGGCAACCCATCCATGTGCTTCTCACATTGATGTTTCTCTCTGTCTGCCTCTCTCTCCCACTCTGTCTAAAAATCAGTGGGATTCTATCCTCAGGTGCAGATTAAGAAATCAATAAAATAATGCAGCGAGCCTGTGCTCAGAGCCAACCTCACAGTCAGACACTGTAGGGTTTGCCATGGCCACGGCTTCTGTCTCAGGGCGCTCATGGGCGATCAGGGAACCAGGCAGGTTTTTGTCTCAGTTCCCCGTGGGGGTGGAGCGGTGTGTGACTGCTGATGCCGTTGTCCCAGGCTGAACAGAAATAAATTGCCGTGTCCTCGGGCTGCAGGCTTGTGATGTCCAGTGAGGCCGTGTTGCCAGACTTGGAGCCAGAGAACCGACCCGGGATCCCCGAGGGCCGGGAGCTTCCGAGCATCACCGTTTTGGGGGCCCCACCTGGGACCTGCTGGTACCAGCCCACAGTGTATGCTCCCACATTGTTGCTGTCTCCCCTGCAGGTCAGGGAGACCTTCTCGCCCGGAGACCCTGACAGCGAGGCTTCCTGCGTCAGCCCGGCCTGCACCCCGGACCCTGGAACAGAGGACGCAGACACAGACAGGGAGGCTGAGGTCACTCTCACAGCGTGCGCTCAGGAGGAGGGAACAGAGTGTCCCGGGGGCCCCCACCCGCACTGGCCCCGCTTCCCTCAGCCAGTCACCTGAGCTGTGAGCAAGGAGGGCGAGGAGGAGAGGGGCCCAGGCCATGGTGGAGGTGTCCACGCTCTGCTTCTGAGCCTCAGCCTGAGAGGCCCCCACAGCCTCTCTTATCCTGACCCCTCCTGGGAGGGCCCAGGGGACCCTTCATGCAAATGCTCCCCCCTCCTGGTGTCCCCGGGGATACATGTGGGGAGAGCTGTGTGGCTGGGGAGGGGCAGCCTCTGGGGGCCCTGGGAGGTCACAGCTGCTGGTGCCCAGTGAGCACAGAGCACAGGGCACAAGGCAGGCTCCCCACCGGCTTGCCAGCTGAGGCCCTCACTGACCCAGCGACAGGCCCACAGCGCCCCCTGCTGTCCAGGTTCCAGGTTTACTTATAGCCAGTTGGCTAACCTGGAGCTGAGCTGGGAGAGACTGAGGCCCTGCAATGCAGCCTTGCTTCTCTCAGCCCTCCCTCTCAGGGCAGGGCTGTGTGGTGCATTGGGGGATCTGCTCTTTCCCACTCCTCCCACTGTGTTCTGGGCTCAGAAACCAGCTCCGCTAACCGGGAACAAGTTTCCAGGGAAGCCACGTTGCCAGGGGCTCTTGAGTGAGGAGCCCCTTCAGGCTGAGGCTCTGAGCCTGTCACACTGAGCTGCCCTCTGAGAGAATGTTTGCGCCTCCTGGTAGTTTCCTGGAGCGGGGGGTGATGGGAAATAGGAAGAGTGAGTGGTCGGCCATTGTTTCAATTTCTGTGATTTTTTCTTCCTACAACCTGCAGCTGGCCTTTCACTCCCTTATTGGTGTTTATTTTTAAAAGCTGCTTTTGCTTTTCATGAAGTGCCACTAATCCTGTTTCTATTCTTTCCTTTCCTTTTCTTTCTTTTATTTTCTCTCGCACCCTTGGGATCTTTGTGCTTTCTGTTTGCCAAGATTATGAAAATAGTCCTAGGTGATCTCTTAGAAGCGTCATTGTTTTGATTTTCACGTTTGGACCAATCATCCATGTGGAATAAATGTGCATTGGGAAAGGTGTGGGGTCAAAGTTATTATGGTTTTCCCATGTCGATTGGTCATAGTATGTTCATTGTAGGCAAGGCTGTTCAGGTCCTCTGCCCATTGTTTATTTGCATTGCGTTGTGGGTTTGCTTTCTCTCCTTGGTGTTGAGTTCTGGGAGTTCTTTCTCAGTGTGGGATAAAGAACTATATGGGAAGATCATTGGTGAATAATTCCAACCATTAACTCACCAGAGGCTGTCTTTGTGTTTGGTTGATGGTTTTCTTTGCTGTGACAAAAACCATTAGTTTGGTCAATGCTATTGGTTAATTTTTCCATTTGCTTTCCTTGCCTGAGGAGATGTATGAGACACAATGTTGGTGACATAAAGGTCAGAGTTGTTACTGCCTACATATTATGGGGTGCGGGGGGAGATGTCTGATTTCTGGTTTCCACTTCAGTCTTTGGTGCACTTCAGGTTTATGCTGCATGTGGAGGAAGGAAGGAAGGAAACGAGAGAAGGAGCCTCCCTTTTCTGGGCCCAGGGCCAACTCCCAGACCCTGAGCGAGGGCTAAGCAGACACTCTGACGTGGGTTCGGTGAGAGAGAGAGCGAAGGGGCTCTGACTTCAGTAGCCACAGCTGTTCGCTGCCTCGTTGAGGATTTAGTGTAACAACAGCTTGAACCCTGATGAGCTCTAGATGGATCAGCAGGGAGCTGTCCTGACAAAGCCCAGCTCCACAAGATGGAGTCTCACAGACCAAACAGAGAGATCCCAGCAGAGCCCCTGGGAGCAGACGTGTGTGAGAAAATCAAGGCATGGGCTTCCGCCGTTGGCCAGGGCCCTCAGAGGTCTCGACCCTTCGGAGAATCCTCCTCACAGACTTTCCTCCAAGCCCTGTGCTGCCCCAACCCCAGCATCATGCTTCCCCCTCCCGAAGGCCGTGTTCCCATGGAGATTCTGGGACCACCACGCAAGTCCGATCCAGCAGCTCTCACGTGGGAAAGGCATGTCTAACAAGCGCCAGGAATGCCCCATGTCAAGGCCAAATAAACATTAATGTTGTCCCCACGATGGAATTCATGACGGGGCTGTGACGTCACTGTTCTGAGTGAGAGGAGACTCACAGCCTCACAGAGGGGTCTCTGAGTCGCCCTGTAGGTGGATCCAGTTGGGAACTGAGCCCGTCCCTGTAGCTATGGGCAGAGACGAAGAGGGAAGCCCATTCTTGCAGGAGTCACATGATGAGATGGACACACCCTGGGAGAGACTGAGGAGGCACATGACCATAAATCTCTGGTCAGGAAAATGGGGCCAGGAGCCCCCTTCCCACGGTGTGCTGGCCATTTGCACCTTCAGGCTTTTTCTGCATCAGAGGCTGAGCCAGGGTGAGCCCAGGAGGAGGTTTTGGTTGCACTTCCCCGTGGGGTTATATCACCGTGGAAGCAGCACCAACATTGTGCAGACAACAATAATACATGGCCTCATCCTCAGACTGGGCCCCCGAGATGGTGAGGGCTGCTTTGTTCCCAGAGATGGCGCCAGAGAAGCGAGCAGGGACCCCATCGACGCGGTTGTTTGTGCCATAGATGAGCCTGCGGGGAGGCTTGCCTGGGGTCTGCTGGTACCAACTGGGGTAGTTACTAGTGGAGACTGCCCCAGAGCTCAGGCCACAGGTGAGCGTGACTGTCCCTCCCAAAGATACTGACACGGACGGCTCCTGGGTCACAGTCTGAGAATCCACCCCTGAAATCAAGAGGAGAGACAGATGTTAGGAGGGATAATGATCACCCTGAGTCACTGCTGCTCTGTGTCCCCCGAGGATGCAGAGTCCCCTCCTCTGACCTGAGCTGAGCGCCAGGAGCTGGAGCAGAAGCACCGTCCAGACCATGGTGGGGACCCTCCCAGGACGTGGCCTCCTCAGGCTGCTGGCTGCAGTGGGGAGTCCTGGAGCCTTTTCATGCCTCCCACACCCATTACGGGGGAAGGTGCCTCATGCAAATCAGCGTCCCCTCTAACCCTGCCCAGGCTCACCCTGACTCCCCTGGGGAAAGTCCCAAAAAAGGCAGATGCTAGGCCCTCACACACAGTCCAGGCTGATTGGGGACTGAGACACTGAAGGGGGGTGTTAATTCTGTCACCAAGTCAGCCCTGGAGTCCTGGTGACCTCAGTCCTAACTTCCTTCTCCGGAGGGTCTGAGGCTAAAGGACGAGGAGAGACTGTCTGCCCCCTCCTGGCCCCAGCCCCATTTGGGGGAGCACTGATCCTTCCTCAGGAAACCCCCTTCTTGCCCTCCTCTGGGATCTTAGCAGTCCACTCCATCCAGAGGATGATGTCAGGATCTCAGGTCTGGGCTGTGAAGGGCCTGGGTTTCCCTGACTCAGTCCTGGACCCTGTTCCACCAGCAGTGTCTGGGGATAGGGCTGGGGGTGCTCACCAGTCGGTTGCACCTCCAGGCAGGGATGGTCACTCGCTGTAGTTCTAAGAAGCCATCAGTTATAGGGGGTAGTTTTACATTAAATGGGGTTTAGGGTAGTTTTACATTCAATGGGGTTTGAGCACAAAATGTGATGGCGACCCCATGGAATTATGGGATACTTATGCACATCTCCTATAAGAACATAGGAATTTTTTCAGAAATGGGAACAACGTTGTGTGTGAGCATGTGGGCATGAACCTCTCAGAGGACGTTTTAACAGTCCCTCTCCCTTTCCCTTCTGCTGTAGGGCAGGAGGAATCGGGGGGTGGGTGAGCAGGGGATTGGCATGTGAGGGGGTGAGCAGTGCTCTTGTCCAGAACTGACGTCCTTCCCGTCCCCCAATGAAGCCGATTTTGCAGCGAGAGAGGAGGGGGAGGAGTAGAGGGATCTGGGTCCCCATGGGGGAGCCCCTGAGCTCAGTGCGCTCAGGCCTCCTTATTGGAATGGAGTCTCCCGTCCCCAATGGCGGTGACCCTGTGACCAAGGTATGCATAGACTATGTTGTTTCATACACGTGTGTCCTGGGGTGTGACTGCCCATCTGTCTCTACCTGGACCTCCGGCTTGATCAACACCTCTAGGAGGGGGATGTGATAAAATACGAGGCGAGTGTGTGAGGGAGAGGGCCCGCTAGGGGGCTCCAGTGAGTCCTCATGCTGCTGGGCCCATCAGGGCGATCCCATACACCTTCCCCCTCCTGGTCCTCAGGGGAGAAGGTGGGCCTCCTGCCGCCCTCCCCATGGTCCCTCAGGAGCTCCAGAGCTCCCGCTGTGCAGACAGGAGCACAGCCTGGGTGCGGGGTGTCAGCAGGAGCTCGGGGACAGCACCGCACACCCTCCGATGCTCTCACCTGAGAGGAGCAGGAGGCACAGGGCAGGAAGCTCACCGTCCTTGGTCCTCGGAGAAGGACCAGGGAGACCGCAGGGAGATGTCACTGCCCCAGGCCAGCGGGGCCCTGTGACCTGAAACGTGGGGACCCTGGTGGGTGAGGTCGTGGAGAAGCCAGAGCCCTGCTCATTCCTGGGACAAAGTTCACGCAGGGCAGCCATGTTGGAACACGCCCACCAGTGACTCAGAAGCTGCCATGTGAAGCTCCCACCCGTGTCCTCCTCCTGCTCCTCAGCCTCTGCCCAGGAGAAATGGGAACACACATCACCTGAGAGCACAGCCATCCTGGCGCCCCGGGCCCCGCAGTGCTGTGCAGAGCAGCCACAGGGCCAACCCCTCAGCTGCCAGCAATGAGGCCTCAGGACACGCTTCTGTGCTCACACATGGGGATGGGATTGGAGGAAGAATAATGAGGCTGCTGACCCATGTCTCCATGTGGAAGGGCCTGACCAACATGACTCAGAAGAATTTAAAGAAACTGTTTGAGGGGTTAGGCTCAGTGGAGAGTGCGTCAGCCTATGGACCAAAGGGTCCCAGGTTCCATTCCCGGTGAGGGCACGTGCTTGGGTTGTGAGCTCCCCTCCAATGGGGGTGCTGGAGGCAGCCAGTCAATGATTCTCTCCCATCGTTGGTGTTCCTCTTTCTCTCTTACTCTCTGAAATCAATAATATTATATTTTTAACAGAGAATTCAAAGAAACAGTAGCC